ATATATATGAATGCATATGACACTCATCTCATCTGAGCACTAGGTTTAGAAAAATTACTGGGCATTCACACACCTTTCCCACTTCTGCTTGTGACTTGCCCTCAACTCAAAAGTACCACCCACTTCCAGGAATAGTGGACCAAAGTGAAAGAAACTGTCTCAATTCCTACAGTTAGGACAGGCGAGATTCTGACAATGAGGGCTGTATAGGTGAATTAGCTTCAAGCAGGATCCTTGGAGAGGTCCTTCATGAATAATTCAGGCCCTTCAGTCTCGGGCTGAGATCTTTCTTGCCTCCCTGTGGGGCCAACTAAGTGCCAGCACATGGCTGCTCAGTAAAACACTGGCGAAATGGAGTTGACTCTGTGTCTCTGGGCTTTAAAGACTGCACTCCTGGGTCTCTACAATTCTGCCAGGAAAGGTGCCTGTCGTATCTGTGGATGGGGCTGTCTTTGGGGGTTTCCTCAGGGCTTTACACTAGCTCACTGTCCAAGGGTGCTCTTGTAGTCATTCTCATCAGTGGAAATGCCCACCTGCCAGTAGAAGTTATCAGGAACCACGAAAGAACACTACCCCCTTCCGTGGTGTTGCTTCAGTCTAGTCAGTTCCCCTTTCTGTGTTTGAACCTCAGTCCTGAGATTATTTCTCACTTTACAAGGAGTCAGAAGACCCGGGGAGCTGGCCAAGGCTCCTTTTCATCTCTTCCTAACCCCTTGCTCCTGTGTTCCTCGGGAATGCTGCTCTGTTTATGTGTCTGGTCTCTGGGTGCTACAGTGGATGGGCACTGGTGACAGGTAAGTCCTTTATGAAGCCTGTAATCTGGTCCAAGAGAAGCTGCATCTGGGGCAGATGTGCAGAGGTGGGGCTGATGGCTTGCAAGGACAGGAGGGCAGAGTGTGTGCTTGAAACCCTTGATCAGCAGGCTTAATTCACAGACTAAGACTTAATTCACTGGAAGTGGGATATTACAAAAACGAGGCTCTCCTAGTTAGATCTATGTGTCTCCTTGAGTGAACCAGGAGATAGGACAGGCAGGAAACAGAAAATGCCACTTACCAAATAGCTGGTGGCTTCTCTTGGCCGTGGGGTGCTGGGGGTTCCTTGCAGCCCTGCTCTAGGAGGCGTTGTCCAAGGATGCTGGCCCTGCCTGAGCCCTGGTACAAGTGGGAAACCTAGAAGAGGGAGTCAATATCCATGGCCTTCCTGCAGTAGTTCTGCTTTTCTGTTTAGCTTTCCTTCTCTGGAAGCTTTTCCTACGATTTCTTTCCACTCAATTGCCCCATCCCAACATTAGAGACCACTTGCTCATTTGGAAAGAAATATTCTTAGGTCCAAAAAGAGCCCAGGCAGTGGTTTAACATGCTCCCCACACTCTCAGCACATTTGCATTTGCAAATAGGCCTAAAATACCACATCTCTTAATAGCAAGGCAAGGTTTTGGAGAGACAGGTGAAAATAATTTTTGGCCAAGGGAACTTCCCACTCCTCTCAAATTGTAATAACTAAGGAGATTGCCTGCTCCTCTTATAAATAACTTCAATCTTGGGACTAAGGCTCTGGACTAAAATGAGTGTATTTATGTATTCACATTTGAAATTCCATGTTATATGTGCTGTTTGCTGCTACAGGCATCAGTAATGTTATTTATGTGATAGATGGTGTATAATGGAAACTTATGAATCTTCATTCGTGTATTTGGCATACATTTATTGAGGACCTACTGTGTCCTAGGTACTTGATTTTGAGTAGGGAGCATAAAAGACATAAAGGCATACAGGAAAGCTATACTCTTGAGGCTTCTATTTTCCTAGTGGGAAAATCATACAAGTTAAATAAAAGTCATTAACATGACTTTTAACATTAGTACTTGGGATCAAAGAAGGTAGTTCTATGTAATTAGGTGGACTGATTAGTTACTATGTCTTTATGTTTGATATTTTTATTATTCTGTAATCCCTGGATAGTGGACACACCTTCCTGGGAAGAGATGGAAACAGGATTTTATGACATTGAGCTAGGGTAGGAGGGGGAAAAAACATGAAAGATGAAAAGGGGATTCTTTAGGAGAAAAATCAAGGTTCAAACACTATGTTCCAAAAAATCATATAGACATGGGGCTTGAGGTTAGGTGTATCTCTGGGCTAGGAGATTGAGACTGTAAGAATCTAGGAGCACAAAATCATGTCTAAAGCAAGCAAGGCAGGTAGCAGGGAGGCTTCGGGGCAGTTTTCCAGAGTCCAGGCGGGTGCTGGTCATCTACTTATCATGGCCAGGCAGATAAAAGGAGTATTTAGGGGCAGAGCAAGCAAAAGTGCATAGGCTGGGCAGGAGCCTTTACTGGACTCCCCCTTTCGTCTCTGCTCTCCTGTACCACACATTGATGCTCACTCAGGCTGCAGTTTGGAAAAGAGATTCCATGTTGAGTGTGTGAGGAGGAAGAAGAATGTGTTTTCAGCGCATTGCATCTCTCCATCATGACCCTGAGGCCTCAGTGGGGGAAACAACCCACTTTCTATCCATCCTCCTCCATTCACAGATGTGATTCTTTTCTGAGTTCATGTCCTATTTATATAAATTAACTCAAATTCAATTCCTAATGGCAAACAGCAGACAATAAGAACAACCTTCTTTCTACCATCCAGCAAGCATTTTCATTTCAGCTTGGGCTTTCAAAGAAAAAATACCTTAGCCCCAAGAATGAGTATTGTGGGAATTTCAAGCTCTTGGAGTAGAGCCTTGCACACAGAATGGGAGAATGGGGATGTCCTTCAAATTGCGCCCTTACAACATTGGCTTTTCTCTCCTTGACCATGACTCTGGTTCTAAAACAAGGGGTTGGGGTGGGAATGGCTGCCCTCTGATGAGTTCTGAGGGTCTCATTCCCGGCAGGCAGAGCCCTGGAACATCTGAAGTACCAGAAAAATATTGAGTGACACTTACTTTTAGGCATGTTTATTGTTTTGTTTTGTTTTTTAGCAAAACAGAAAAAATGACCTTGATAACCATCAGTATGATCCTCAACTCAAAAACGGTCTGATTCTAGATACAGCTAAGAAACTAGGTGTTTGTCTTGTACACACACAAATGCTGTTGGGGGACAGGAAGAGCAAACACTCTCGCCATACTATGCCCTTCTGGGCCAGTGAGGAGAATGTACTCTTAATTTTAAGACTTTAGTTATTACAATACCAGAGATCGAGTAAAAGCATCCTCTGGCTTCTTATGGATCTGCTCAGACATTTCTTCTTTGTACCTATGCAACTTTGACTTGCTGTCCTGGTTTCTGTGTGGAAATGCTGTGCTCCCAAATGGGGGAGGGCAAAAATAGCTAATGCAAAGAAACAAAAATTAGATAAGAAAATTCTCCACAGACAGAGACCTAAAGGGGGATTTGCTACAAGGAGAAATTGGAAACCGAGTCAGACAGATGATCCAACCTGAGCTAGGAGGAGATGTGGCTGCGGAGAGACATCCCAGGGGAGTGGTGCTCAGTTTGGGTGGCCCTGTCCAGAGCCAGGCATTTCTGTGTACCCCAGACTCCAGAAGTCACTAAGGCATCACTCACATACATCTCTTCTTTGTTATTCCCAGTGCCTATTGCTGCTTCCTCCTGTCCATCTCGGCTCCTTGAGCCTTTAATATTGGCTTTCTTGATCACTCTGGTAACAGTCCTTCCCCCTTTCCTCAGGCTACTGACAGGCTTACTTTCTGTAAACTTTCATCACATCATTTTTCAGCTTCCAAACTATTAATCCTAAATTCCCAATTTTCTAATGAATTAAATATAAATTCCTCATCCATCTTTCCAAATCCTATCAAACTCATCTGTTCTACTTACAAAAATTAATTTCCCATTCTTTCCCTCAAATCTACCTCTTCTCCAGTCCATTCAGCTTTTCTACTTTTGCTCTAAGAAAATATCATTGTCTTTCCTTCATTTCTATATGTCCTGAAAATTATTGTGTTTGATTGTATCTCAGAAATTTGTCAAAATAATAGAGGATTTGGGTGTACCTGACACAAAGTTTGAGGTGGTGGTTATACCAGTTATCCTGATTTGATCATTGCATGCTGTATAAATGTGTTAAAATATCACACTGCATCCCACAAAGATTTGGGGATATAGCTTTGTGCAAAGGCCCAGGGTTCAACCCTGGTGTGTAAGGAAAAAGCAAAAAGAGAGCAAGTATCACCCTAGTACTTTGAATCCTAGTGGGGAGAAGGTTAGTGCATTTTCAGTTTTACACAGGATAATTGTATCTGGTTAGGTAGAAATATAATCTTATTGGTTCTATTTGGAGATTTTAATATGGTTTAAAGAGATGTCTGCGGATTTCAAGTTGACTACACGTAGACATATGATGGTTAATTTTATGTGCAACTTGGCTAATCCACAGTATGCTACCCAGATATTTGGTCAAGCATCGGTGTATGTGTTTCTGTGTAGAAACATGATTATAAAACTTATGATTTACTTTTAAATCAGTAGACTTTGAGCAAAGCTGATTACCTTTTATAATGTGGATCACAGAGTGGTATTTATAGTGCATTTTATTTTTATTAAAATTCATATTTACACATATTCACAGATATAGGAGAGGATCTGGAAATAATGCACATAAAACCAGCATTATGCATTATTTTCTGGGGACTGACATAGGACTTGAGGTAAAGAAATGGGCATATGTTTTCTTTTTCATTTCTATATCATTTCTATGATTAATTTTTCCCACATAGATTATATTTCTTACATATGTTCTCTATTCCAGAGCAAGAACCAAGTTTTCTTTATTTTAACTTTATTTTAGTTAAGAGGCTCAGTTATCATCACTTTTATTTCTTGCTATTCACCTACAACTTTGCACCGGAACGAGCACTGTACTTTGCCTCAAAAGTGAGGCTGTTCCGTGACCACCTATGACCTGCAGGGAAGTGTGCAGAGTGAGGCCAAGAGCAACATAACTTATTTGAGATTCAGTATCTTACAGTAACTAAATGTAGTAACACAAAAGCTAAAAAATTAGGGAAAAATTGCCAAAGAATATCAAACTCATAAAAACCATGGAGCACAGGGTTATATCTGATGTCTTTACGTGTGTACATATCTGTGTATATCATGAATGTGGCTGAAATAGTGAACAGCTCAATTCAGTCAACACTTAAAAGTGATTCATCAACAGGCAGTAGTTTTTCAATACACACTAGGTAGATATATGGGCTGCAGCATCATGCATTGTGAAAGATCTGTTTCCTGGGCTGTCCAGGGAAATCTTGTTGGAAGCTTGCAAAGCCTTTCAAGGGCAGGGACAGATGACCCACCCCATAGAGTTCTAGGAAGCTAACAACAGTTAATGTTAAAGGAGGGGCCAGTTCTCAAAGGAAAACTCTTGAGGCTGTGGCCCAGGCTGAAATTCTCATTAGTACAAGTATCGGAATGAGTGGACTTAGGTGCAGCCCATGGTGGGCAGGGCTTCATCTGCTCATCAGAAACTGGTCACTGAGTCACTGGCATACTTGGGTCACTTTGTTCCTTCCACCAAAATAGTTCTGAGACCAAGTCTCAGTCACCTGGCAAGGCCCAGCTCAAACACCAGCATTAGCTCTCCACCCTTGCGGGGCTGTAGAAGTCCTGGGTCATCTGTACTCATCTCCACAGACTCTGCAGACAAGAGGGACCCTCCGAGTGCACCATACTGTCTACTCTGTAAAGTCACAGGAAAGGACTCAGTCTGGGATAGAGAAAGATGGAGTTCCGGGCGTTCTTTAATTTTCCTTTTTCCTGAGAGTGTAAGGA